ACTCTTGATTTTCTCTTTTTTATCAATAGCCTTTGCAATGAACATTTTTTTCATACTGTAAAGACCAGTTTGAAAGCTCAGTGCTTTCAGAAGTCACCCAGTTCCTGGTAATGAGCTCACACCCTCATATAGTATAATCCTGTGATGTGCTTGCTAGAATCCGCTGTACTCTGAGCCTCAGAATCAAGTTGGCGATGCACTTTTCACACTTAATGTAAGTGCATTGGCCCTTTCCGATGAGACCTGGCGGAGCCCCTTCAGGTGGAATTCCACTCCACAGCAAAGGTTACGGTCACAATGCTTCAGGAGCTTGTAACAGCAATTACCCTTCTGTGCTTTTACAGCTGCACCACACCAATGCTTTCCATATTCTGTAAAGGCATCTGCTTAGGTGTCGCAGAAGGCCTGAAAACTGGTGTGTTCAAATATCACTAAATATATATACATAGTCTAAAACTTATTTTAAAAAATATAACTTTAAAAAATCTGCCAGAATAGAATGCAGTAGAGATCACCAAGTCATTACCTTCTGCAAAAAGGCTCTGCCATCTATATACAGTTGAATTTTAATTGCTAGGTTGTTGGAGAAAATGGCAGTTCTACATTTGTCTTTTTCAAAAAAGAATTCACAGGGATGTATAATTAATCCAGGAATCACAGCACCACAACACACAGCAAGGTCCAGCTTTATCTGCTCAATATATTCTCCACACGGCACTGGCACTGCACAACCAAGTCAGGGCTTAATGCACCTACTACAGTCCTCTGCCCATCGTCCCTTGAGTATTCAGAACAAGTATTGTCCTTCCCCTGCTAAGAATTCTGTCTGAACATTTTAGACATTAGCAGAAGTTACATTTAAACAGGCTGACTTTTCTGAGATTGTGAACTGCACTTAGATCTTTGTGCTGATACAACTTGAAACAACATTTACCTGCTCGAGTTGTCTTTCAGATGAAATCTGTCTGGCAGACTATGTGGGCAATGCAAAGCAAGTTATTTACACATTGTTATCACATCTGAGTAAATCAGAATTTTCCCTGCAGTCAGAACTAAATGAAGACATCATATTAATAGAGGCTGATATCACAGCAATTGTCATTCACGATGCCCAATGTCCTTGCAGGCACATTAAACGGGCACACTCTCCTCTTTGATTATTTTATAAGCACATTCTGTTTAAAATATAATTTGAACCCAAACATTCCACACCAGTTATATCTCTGCCTTCAGTTAAGGTAGAGCTACAATCATCCTCTGAATTATTCTAAGAGAATTGGTCTCATGTTCCCCCTTCCATTTTTAATCATTCAAATGCTAACACTTAAGGCATGGCACTTTTTAGTTGCCTCCAATAACATCTCATTTCATTAGACTGAAAGCCAAGTCCCTTCCAATGACACTCAGAGGCCTTCAGAGTCAGATGCCTTGCCTTACTGCAGACACTACCTCCTTTGAGCCCCACTCCCACACTGGCAGCCTAGGGTTCTTCAAATATACAAACCCAAGACAAACGCCGCACTGCCATCGAGTTGATTCTGACTCCCATCAACCCCAAACGATAAGGCAGCACTGCCCTTGTGGGTTTCCAAGACTGGAACTCTTCACAGCAGTGGAAAGCCCTTCATGTTGCTCTTCCTTCCACCTCAAGTGTTCTTTGTTCCCTCGCCTCCAAAATCTCTAGATCAAATGCCTTCTTCTCAACCAACCCTCCTCAGACCATCCTAAATGTGCTCCGTCCTCGATAGCTCTCAATGTACCCATCTCATCAATGGGCTTCTTACTATCTAAAAGAACACATGCTCAACTTCTTTATTTATAGGCTGTCTCCAACCAACTAGCATGGGCAGGACATTTTGTCTGTTTTATTCACTCCTTTTAAACAGTATCTGTCACGATGCCATCAGTCACGCAATACATCTTTGTGGGGTGAGTACAATCGTCTCAATTTCCACCTACAACGGAATCTGTGCCAGCAACACAGCCATTGCTTCCTATCTTCATTCCTGTTCAAGACTTTGCTGCCCAATAAAACATTTTAGTGCTACCAAAGAAAGAGAAAATGTTACAATTATAAGCTCGGGAGGAAAAATACTTCATTATAAAATGAAATGATTTATGTTAATTCACATAATACCTAGACCACCACACTGGTGACACTAAGCCAAAATAACATGTACAGATCAGAGGTCCTTTTGAGAGTCTCTTGCTTCTCATTACTCGACACACATGGATAACAAAAATATCCCATTTAAAACAGAAATTACTTTTAAATGTCTTCTCTCATTCACTTCCATCTTAACCTTGATAAGTCCACCAGGATTTTACTAAAACCTTCCCAATAGTCTGTCCTACCGTCATCATGCTCTTTGATCAGTTTTCACCACAGGGGCTTCTTGATTCAACCTTTTATTCACATGCCACTGTTTATTTCAAGTGTACAACTTTTGTTTCTTCGGCAAGCTACACACAAGTATAATACTTTTCATACACACACCTGTGAAAAGCTAGCACGTAACTAGTTGCTACAGAGATGAACATCATCCAGAGGCTAAACCCTGATGCCCGAAGGCTCCTGTTAGCTCATCCTTTCATTTAAGTCTGTGCCTAACAAATCACTTTTTCTCTGCAGACACTTGGTGGGTGTATGATTTCACAATGACCTTGGCTACATGTGAACAATGGGTGTTTACCAGGGACTGATTGTAATTTGGTATTTTTTAAGCTGTAATTATATATACCAATTTAAAAATATTTTCATCTCAATTTAATAATTCCTTTATCCTAATTATATTGCCTAATACATTACCTTAGAGAAAATCTTCAGGGTGGTATATAATAATACCTTTTTTGCCAGAAATATATGTATATTTTATAATATATATTTATAAATATATATCCTATATGTGATAATACAGGCACAGCTGGTTGCTATTAAATACAACAGACTATTCAGTTAAGGCATAGATGTCTTTAAGTATATTATTCTATGCTATATCAAAATTGATCTTGTGGTATTAGAATAAATGCACTAGACAGGAACTATGGAGTCGGCATAGGCGCAACAAATGCTACCTTGAAATCACCCAGGAAGTGTGAAGACTAACTGAATTGTACACATTTTACACAAAATCAAATAGGAGGTATTTTATTTCAAGTTTTGAGTCTGATAAGTTAATGTGAATAGAATTTGCACACTTCAAATTCAAGCCAAATTTACACCCATCTAGATATTATCTGAAACGATGTCAAAATAGAAAACATGTTTTCTATACAAAATTTCAAAACACTTTGGCATCACAAGGTCGTAAGCATTGAAATGAGTACTGAAAGTGAAAAAAATACAAAACTTTATCACTTGCAAACAGTGAAAGAAAACCTTCCACTTGACAGAAGTCTAGAAACCAATCTGAAAATTGCATGCCACATCTGGATCAACACGCCTTTAATCGCATGCTTTTCCTAGGAACGTATACTATTAGCATCAGTATTTATGTATTTTCATTGAGATTTTCACTTTCACCATGATCTCTGCATTTTCTACTTCCTTCTTTGGTAAAACTATTTACTGAGAACAAAATCAACATCAGAACTTAATCTAAAATCCAATTCCATATCCAAGTAATTTGACAGAAGCTATTCTTATAAAACAAGAGGAAACAAACAGGACCCAGATTTCATGAGCACCATTGCATGATAAATAGGCTATTCAAATGATCTAGTCAGGGTGTCAAGGCACCAAGTTGGATCAACATTTTAGGTTGTACCCTATATAATACCAGTAGACTAAACATAAAGAAAGTGCTGGCCACCCAGAGTCCTATACAAAGTAAGCAGTTGGCATTCAATCTGCATCCATCTACACCTTTGCGTCTATGACTGCACATAGGAATATCTCCCAACATCAAAGAATCTGAAGGTTTGTAGAAAGGCAACTTTTGTTTTGCTTTTCACAAAGTATTCTCATTGACCCTCTTCTTCTTTCCTAAGGCAATGTTCTCTGGAGGATCCTGAAAGAGTCACGCTGTTTCCTTCAATGTGACTCCTTGCTTGAATAGTGGGTCGCATGTCCTTAGGGGATTGGGGAATTGGGAAGAACAGTCCTGTCTCTGGGAATTCTGACAGGACCCAGCTTGTGCTCTCAATGGCCCTGACTGGCTAGGACATCACACATTCCATGGGCATATCATGTCATGTAAGCAAATAAAGCTACACATGTTCTACTTTATGCTGAACTCTGATTAGCTAGGAATGCAAGACAGGAGGAATTGCAGCAAGCTGTGGACATCGAACCAGTGCCCTCCTCGGAATGAAGACAGCAAATCAGTACCAATGTCATTCAGGGCCTTTCAAACCAGATATTGGGATTTCATCTTCTCTGTGTGGTTCTCAGTCCCATAGCCACCATCACACTGTCTAACTGCAGGACAGGATCGCTATTGGGTGTGAGGCAATACAACTAGACACCATTAAAAAACCTATTCAACAACTTGGAGGCTCATTCCCACAAAATTTTCTAATCGCACAACCGATCATAAAGTCCCTCTAAATTGTAAACTGCAGTTCAAATTGGACTTTCAGACTTTTCATACAAACATTAGAAAAACGATTTGATTTATTAATGCCTGCCAGGGATGTACATTTGCATCAATAGCTCCCTGGGCATTGGAAGTCTTCTCTGTAAGAGAAGCTTTAGGTCCATTCTCAGATAGGTCCATCAATCATCCACATCAACCTATTGAAACTCCATCTTCGTCAAATGCCAGCCACTAAATGGACTATAAGAGAATCACTTGAGAGCCAAAATATTCCTAAGCATTTACTCGCCATACGTCTTCCATATTTAAAAATATATATTCTGAGACAAACTCAGAACACAGACAGTACCCAAGCCGTGTTTGGGTTGCACCTGCCACCATTTAGGGACCACTTGCACACGCTGGGGCCACACCGGCGTTCAGAAGAGCCACCTTTGGGGCGGTGGCACACGCAGCACTTACGTTGTTCATGTACTCGCTCAGCAGGTCCTGCAGCGCCTGTCGCACCGCGTTGCATTCAGCCACGATGCGCTCCCGCCGGTCGTCGCGCGTGCAGGATGAGTCGGCCATCAGCGCCGCGCCGCTGATGATGCTCTCCAGCCTCTCCTCCAAGGACGGCCGGAACCTGGCCTCGCTGAACGTCATGGGGTCCAGGATAATCTTGTTCTGAAAGTATTGGAATTTAAAATGAGCAAGGAAGAGACACCCGCCCTGGTGATTTGCACCAGCAAAAATCCAAGCGAGGGTGAAACTCTCCGGGGAGAAGGGTTGGTTAGTTACGCAAACTGTGAAGTGGCCTTGACAAGTAGCAGCTTTTTTATATACAGTGTTTTTGTCGAAATCTAATCTTTGGAGAGAAAACGGCACATCTAGTTCAGAGAACATGTTCTTGGCAAAGGCTATCTAGACTAAAAAGTCTTCAAACGAAAGTGTGATGTTAAGTTGGCGTTTTTAAAAAAAATAATAAGGGTCATACATTTCATTGTAGCATTTTGAGGATTATGGAAAGAATTTAGCGCCTTGGAGCTATAAAATAATATGCAAGCAAATACAGAATACCAAAAAAGAGAACACACCAAACGGGCACGCATAGAGTGGATTCTGACTCTCAGTGGTCCCTGGAGACAGACTGGGACTGAGAAAGGGACTGGAAGCCCTGGTGGAGCAACGGCTGCTTTCAAAGAACCCACTTTCAGGTTAGCAGCCCAAAGCCACCAGCTAGGTCCCTGGGCTCCAATATATCAACTAGTTCTGACAACAACCTTCTAGGGCAGAAGACAACTGTTCCAGAGGGTTTCCTGGGCTGGAAAACTTGACCAGAGCAGAAAGCCTCATTTTTCTCCTGCAATCAACAAGTTAGGGATCCCTTCGCTGTGACTGGAGTATATTACACCTTCTTCATAAGAAATGGACCTTCCCTGAGATGTGTCTGGAGCAAGTAGCATTCATCAGGAAAATTCAGAACAGGTATATTTACCACTAGAATCAATCGTTTTTATTTACAAAATGAGTATTAAGAACATAGTTCATAGTGCACATGTGTGATTTGTTGCAATCACATGATTGATAAATTAAATTAAAAGTATTAAGATAAATAAGGGGGAAATGGAAAGGTGTCACATGGCCACTCCTTACAGACTGCCCTGTGGGGTCACTGTGGGTTGGGCGGGACTTGATGGCAGTCAGTGTTGTGGTGGTGGTTGGCTTGCCTCTGTGCCCCGGGAACACGTTCACTAAAAGGTGTTCAGGGGGGTTCAGAGGCACTGACTCTCTGATTGTGATTCATATGCAAATCTTCGTATCATTGTTGGTAGTTGTCATTGAATAAATGCCCCTGGTGTGCAGACTAGAACTGCTTCTTAGAGTTTTCAAGGCAATGGTCTCACTTCCAAGATGAGATGGGAGGGGTCTTTGAACCCACCATTTCACCAACACTTCAGCGAGTGAGTGGCCAAAGGCTTTGCTGTGTGCAATGCTCAGGGACTGTTTCATCACGACCAGAGGGAGGTCCTCAGAAAGAAGTGCAGACCACTTATGAGGAAACAAAGACTGTACACAACTTGGGTCTGAAGTCCATTAGAATTTTAGATTATGGAGAAAATCATCCATTGATCAAGGATCCCTCTTCAGCTTAGAGGGTAAAGGGGCTTATAAAGTAAAGTTAGCTTTCTTGGAGTACACTTTCACTTGTAGGATCACCCCTTACTTTCACTCTCTTATATCATGAGAAGAGGTTGGGAATGGGTATGTATATGATACTCCATTCTGGACTGAAGTGCACTGTGATTGTGCACAACTTAATTAAGCACTAGTCAGGGGCCTCTGTTCTAAGACAGGCTCCATCGTCATAGGTGGTACTCAAGAGAAAGCAGAGGTATTGCAGCTCCACCAGCTGCTGGTGCCAAAGCTGGGTCCCCCTGCCTCCTCTTAGTGGGGGCCATCTGATTTCCTTTTCTTTCTCTATCTCTTCTGGCCCCCCTTGTCTTCCATGGACCCATCTCTCAGTGTCTGCAGTTTTTCCATGATATACTTAGGATAAATATTTTCTTAATCATGGAGCATGCATTAACTATTGGTATTTAAGGTGATGCCAAGACCTAATCAAAAGAGAATTAGATTTTCTTCCTTATGAAGATTACTGATTTTTAAAGAGCTGCTTTGCAGGAAAACATATTAGCATAAAATGAAATAAAATTATTATATTGTCAGTTTTGAGATTTCAGGAGACTTTCCAGAATCTTCTCTTGGCTCCAGGATACATATTTATTATACATTCGGCCTAAAGATATAAAGGAGTACAAATTTGAGTGAAATATACTAAAGTAAATTTGAACTCTTCAATAAGGGTAATTGTAAAACAATTTCTCTGCTGTATAGAAGAAATTGTACTGCTGTCATTAGAATGTTATGTCCTAAATTATATTCCATGGAACGCTGAGCTGAGCAATGTAATGTTTGATGAAAAAAGACGATTCCGTGGCCACATTTGTTTTGGAAGTACCATGTGGCTCAGAGCAAATTATCATATGAAATGCTTTGGGGAGTTTTGTATTAAAGATGGCAGTTTATTTTAGCTTCCCTCACCCCTATTCTAGCCCCAAGGGCCTCTTTTAAATATATGTTTAATCTATGAGAACTCAAGGAACACACTTTGGGAAATATGGTAAAAGACATCACTCTGTCAGTCACATGAGCTTCCTCCATGCCCTGACGCACGGTTGTTGTAAAAGTTAATGCACTGCACCCACTTGGAAAACTGTATTAAAAAAAAAAATCATACTATCATATGCCTAATGGAATTAGAGAAAAGCTAAAAAACAAGCAATAAAGTGACAATGACATTAAAACACACACACAAGAACACCTCACTAGAAAAGCAACAATAAATGACAAGATTTTGATCTACATTTGTGGGAAGACGGGGAGTCTAGCAATGTATAAGGTTAGTGGGGTGGAAGCCATGCAGGAGAGAAAAAACATGAAGGGACTGGGCAGCGCATGTGGTGCATGCTTTCCTGTCTCGGTTGGTTACGTGTGTTTTGGAGTGTGGGTTGTGTTAATGTCTGTAAGTAGAGTTTGAATTATATGTATTAGTATTGGAGGGGGTATTGTGTGTTTGGTTGGGGTAGGAGATAGTGAGTGAGTGAGTGAGTGAGTGAGTGAGTGAGTGAGTGAGTGAGTGAGCTGCAGGGGTCAGGTGTGTGTATTTTCAGAGAACTAGCCAGATCAAACAGGTGTCAGGAACCGAGAAAAAAAACAAAAAAAGGAAGAGAGATGTAAAACAGAACTAGAACAAACTAAAACCTGTGGCTCAAGGGCTACAAGGAGAAGACCTATTTATAACTCCCTAAGTAATAAACCCACTGCCAGTCACTGGATTCGGGCTCAAAGGGACTCTACTGGACAAAGCCCAACCCGTGGAAGGGTGTCCCAGGCTGTACATTTCTAAGGTAGCAGACTGCTACTTCTTGCCCCTGGGAGGGAGCACGGTGACTGCGGACTGCCCGAGAGCACTGTCACCAGAGCACCACTCTGCAGGAAGCAACAGAAGATTAAACGCCGGAGCTGAATCCTGAACAAGAAGTAACAACGAAAGAAAGCCGACCTGGACGTGGGTGATTAATGAATCCTACTCTGTAGGAGAGTGATTAAAACAAACGACCAAAGACTCCTCAGCCAGTTCTACTTCCAGGCACCCTTGCTGGTTACTTCCAAATTCCGCAGTGACCCAGGGGGCTCGCGGGCGCGAGTCCTCTGCGCGCGCGCACATATCCCGGGATCAGCATGGCGAGGCTGAGCGTTGTTTGCCCTCTGCTGGTGGAATGGGGCGTGACATCATCCCCATCCAGACAGAAAAGGGGCAACATGCTAATACCACGCATCGACCAGGCAAGGGGTCTGTCTCTTTAGAGCAAGGCCATGCTCTGGCGAGAGGAAACAACCGTGCTGTCCTACCTGAGTCCGCTGAGGTTTTCCATTTTCAATATAAAGTCTCTGGTTTGCATTCTGAAGCTTGCTGAATCTTCTTACCCCGCTGATCTTTTAGTTCCATCTTTGCCATTTAACAATTGAGGTTCTACTTTTTTATTGTATCTTTCTTTTTTTAACTTTAAAAAGAAACATTTAATTCCTTTCTACCCTGTATATTTTCATTTTTTTAATTTGAATTGTATACTATTTTAAGTACCCGGGAGATGCACCACAGGACTCTCCTTCAAAAGAAACTGGCAATGGCTGCCTCCCTCTGCAGCATCTTTAGATCTACCATAGTCCATCAGGAAGCAGTCTCCTAGCTAGGCACGGAGCCATTCACTGAGCATGTCCAAGTTATTCCTGCCCCGTAAGACATTCCTCCAGCCTGCCATCTCCGCTGAGAGGGCTCCTTATTGGTGCAAATGAGACTTCTCACCATCGCTTTTTCATATTGTCATTTACAGGCGACTCTAATGTACATGTCTAATTCCATCTTGGTATCTGTTTCTCAAAGGAACTACACTGAGCAAGAGATAGCACTGGGCAGAGAGCAACAGCCAGGTCACAACGGGCCAAAGTCAGAAGCTTGCCCTTTGTGAACGGTCTCGTAGGCTATCAGGAGTTCCTAACGCTTTAAACTATCCGGTTTAATAAACACCAGCTGGTTTTACTAAAGCCTGTCTGCTGGTTGTAAGAGTGGTTGTAAGAATTTAGGTCTGTCAGGGCTAGAAGAAGAAAGAAGTAGAACAATTCAGAATCCAAGAGAACAATGATGAGAGGACGGTTAGTATTGCTTGGTATGGAATCGATACTATAAATAAGGCAAAGAGTAGAGATATGACAAGCATTCCACCTCACTATGGCAAAACCTGGAGAGTTGTAGATGCTGTGGCGCACATTCACAATAACAACATGGTTCATCTAGGTCAGGTGTTCTCAACCTTCCTAATGCCATGACCCTTTAATACAGTTCCTCATGTTGTGGTGACTCCCAACCATAAAATTATTTTTGTTGCTACTTCATAACTTTAATCTTGCTACTTTTATGAATGGGGAAACCCCTGTGAAAGCATCATTTGATCCCCAAAGGGGTCGTGACCTATAGGTTGAGAACTGCTGATCTAGGTGGAGAATTTGGGGGAGATCTAATTAAATCTGAGTATATGAAAATCAGGATGGGGTTTGGATACATT